ATCGGTTACGGATAAACGCGAGCGGTTCAGAAGGTTTCTCATGTCACGTGGAGGATACAAACGAGAAAAGGGAAACGAAAGAAAATTTGTCGAGGATCGAGCTGAAGACCCATCGATTTTTCCTTCTCTCGTTCATAACTGTTCACAAAGACCTTATCATGATATTAGAAGAGACATTCGCTCTCATCTATTTTACATGCAGTTTGTTCTCTACCTAACGCGTCCCTTGTATAACAGCGGAGGAAATACGAGAAAAGAAAGACGCGAAAGTAAAAGGTCGTGGATCGAATCGAAGACTCTTCGATTTCCGCTCGGTTCCTTTTCCCATTCCTATGATTGGTCCACGAAGACCATCTCCTCGTTCTGAGAATTATCGAGGATTCCGCTTCGTCCGTTTTCGTTTTTTTTTTCCTTGATAATTCTTTTTTCTTCCCCCTTATGAATTAATTTTGTTTAACTTATTTAACGCGTCATTGACCATATCACGCATCAACGTCGCGCATTCTCTTCTTTATACTAACTGCTCAGCATCTGCTCTTTGTTTCTCCTGAAAATACTTTAATAAAGTATGATTAGTTATTAAACATTAACTTTTAAAGATTTCCCTTTCTCTATTAAAGACGCTAAATTCGACGATAATTACGATTATCGTGAGCATTACCCAGCAATTCGTTAAACGACAATAGAACGCAGCTAAGAAATTATATAATTAATTTAACAGTATGCTGTAATTAAATTTGAGACTAAACCTTTCGGTTCGATTTCGTGAGGTCGTTCAAAAAAACTTTCGTAAAGATAATCCTCGCATAATTCCGCCAGAGCAAATTTTGTCAACGTTATTCATACTCATTTCTATAGCTTTACCGGACTGCGCTAAATAAAAGTGGAATGTACATCTAATTAGTTTCGTACGATTTATCAGATTCGCGAAATAAAAATTTCTCTAGATTATGTCAGAGAGCTGATTTATAAAGCGGTCTTATAAAAAATGCATATCTCAACGCACAGTTTTGATAATTGTGTCGGAAAACTGCTCACGCATCTCGGAAACACACCTATCTGTCTCGATATCGCGCAGTGTCTCATATGTATATAATTTGTTAATTTATAAATATTAATATATAAATACTAGTATATATCTATAAATATTAATATTTATAAATTTATATAATACATATGTTTGTATACTTAAAGATTTGTTTTGCACAAAGTAAATTTAAAATTTATACAAATATATTCTTATATGTTTGCCTGATATCAAACACGAGGCAGTTTTTAAAGAATCCGATTGAATCGCAAGTTATATTACGTGGGAAAATATCGGTAAAGAAATGTTCTCACCTTAAAGAATACAAAGATATCAACCGAAAGTTGAAATATCGAAGACAATTATGTCGCGTCGTTCACTATCTCGAAACGGAATTTTCGTTTCGTCTCGCGAAAATCTTGAAATAAATCTAAATAAAGTCCTCGGGATTGGAACAATCAGCACGTTTCGTCGTTGTTTCGATGCCGAGGAGGTATATATCGCGATCGGTTGCCGATGATACGGATCGTTTTTCCATACGGAAAGGAAAGGAGACGAGACCGCATTTATCGCTTTTTTCGCTTCTAGCGAATGTATGTCTATACACACATACACATTCTATACTTTGCATGTAAGTAATGCCTATTTTCCAAAGATATACGTTATGAAGCACACACTTTCGCAATCATTAAATCGCGCGGGCGACTCCCGATTCGTTCTCCCCTTATCATCCCTTTTTCGCTCGAGATTTACGCGTTTCTATGATTCCTTGACCGTGAAAATGTCATCCCTTCTGTCCTATCGCGGGTTTTGTACTTCAAGGCATTACAGGAACGCGTTTTCGCACATCGCTTTCGGGATGACGATTGAAGAAGGTGTGCATACACGATTTCGTTTCTGTAATTTCATGTATTTATCGCCGATATCTGGTTAGGATTCAATCTAGGATGGCAACGTCAATTAATATCAATTCTAATCAATCTTAGATAATTCCACAAGATATTCTTCAAAATATTTTAGAAATAATTTTGCAGTTTAGTAGATTGATTTTTAAGAGAAATACAAACTTTTTTTTTCTTCCTAAGAAAAACAAATGTACAAATCGCAGTATTGGTATTAAACGGCGTTGCTGCTATCTTTACTCTAACGCTTATACAATACTAATGCAAATCTCTATCTTACGCGATGTGCCATTTTTATAAAGCACCATGTATAAAAAAGAATATATATTACTTAGAGATTACAACGGTGATTTAACCGAAACTATGAAATTCCTGAACCATCGCAACTCAAAATGGCGTATGCACACGCAGGTACTATAATTTTACAAAAGAAAAAAAAGATCGAAGGATGAATGCCGATTGTAGAAGAGAACTGAAGATTACACACGTTAGTGCCACATCAAATATTTTTGCCGCAAATCAATCTTCGGGGACCACATCTACACGCCGTTTAACTCCGACGAGCGAATCTCTATTTTATTCTTTCAGGATATAATCCCGATTATAATACGGAATAAAGATGGAAAAATTCGTCACGCGGAGCTAGAATATTATGCATGATATACCGGTAATATCGGCCCCGATAAAGATAGATTCTTAACGTTTCTAAAATACATTCGACGGACTAAAGGGATGTGTCACGATCCGTGAAATGCAACAGCACCGACCACTGGACCTCGGAGAAGCTCTCGCGGAAATTCTCTCAATCGAGTCGTCCTCGCTGTTCGTAATACGCTCTTCGCGTATTATTCTCTTCCTATTAATAATCGCGCGATGTTACTCTTTTTCATTTAGTATAAAAGTCTCAT